TCATCCCGGCCATCTTGTCGATCTGAGGTACGTATCCGCTCGCCATGGTGTACCTGCGGTCGCTGGTACTGCGCATGTTTAGTTCCTGGCTCTGCGGCCGCAATTGGGGAAGCTAAGTACCTTGTCGCGGAACAAATGCGACGGAATGGCGACAGCGGCGAGTTTGAGTAAAGAGCAAACTAATTGCGGTTTGCGATTGAGTGTATGGTTGTTTTGCTTGGCTGACGCGGCCAGGAAGTTCTAGAGACGCAGCAGCTTGAGAAATTGCGCACGGACAGTGAAGGTGAAGAGGAGAAGAGCAGAAGCGGAGGATAATGCCTCACGGTGATAAACAAAGAATGCGGGGTAGTCGTCATTTCCGGTGAGCACATTGTCTTAATGGGGGACATGGAGACGTGTAGGGCAGGAGCGTCATACTGGGAGGGAGTCACGATGGTGGTTGAGCGCAAACATGTCACTGCATGGCCTTTGTGCAAGAGTGCGCATCTCCGTTCAGGTACTATGATGCGGGTCAGCGCTATTGATACCCTTACCGTGGTAGGGCTCATGTCTGAGGTTGACTTAGAGATAGACACAACGAGCTGGTATCATCGTCTTGTTGACATAGAGCAACAAGCCGGCTCACGACCTACGTCAACCTTGAAACCAGGGTCCATTGCACCTCGGATAAACGCGGCTCTCCTAAAGTCCTGTGGTCTACCTTCTTTCTCTGTGAGTATACGAGCCGTGTAAAGTTGACTAATAGAACTGTTCTGACCAGGCGGCTGTGGCGGCCAAAGAGATTTTGACAGTGAAGTCGCTTGCAATGGTACCTTGAAAAGGATAGTTCAGGTCTGCAGTAGTATAACAAACTCATGCCTTACGCGTGGCTACATGTTGAAACAGACCAACTGTCTCAGTCCTGAAAAGGGTACTCTGCTGTCCCGTTGTCTTGGTCATGTTCTTCATCAAACACATTTTGACAACCCCCAAGATTTGTTGAATGCGAACGCCCCTGCATCATGCTGCCAGTGCTCTCCCCTAAACGTAGCGCCAGAACTCCCAGAACCGCCTCATCAGACTCACACACTACGAGGTCTGTAGGCTGATCTGCTCAACGCCTCTCGACACTTCCTCCTCCGCGGTCTTGGCTGCAGGACCGTCTTGGCCTTTCTCTGCAGCTTCAACCCCCTTGTCAGCACCGGCAGCCTTCTTCGCCTTCTTGCGCTCCTTCTCTGCCTTCTTAGCGGCCGCTTTCTTGGCCTTCTCCTCTTTGGCTTTGCGAGCCTCCTCACCACCGAATTGCTCGCGCCACTCTTGCTCCTTCTCAGGTTTGATCTGGGTGAAAAGATAGCCGGCCGTGCCGATCTTGTGGCCGACGGGGAGTGATTGCGCCTCCCACTTGTCGGGAATGATGAGGAACTTGGCATTCAGCTGAGAAAGGATGGCGGCTGTTGTATCGGGCCTGTATTGTTATTAGCGATAAATTCCATACTTCGATGTCTCTTACGCTGCTGGCCAAGTGCACAGTCATATGATGAGACAGATCCAAGACTTACATGTATGGTTCGATCAAACTCGCGAGAAGATGGATTTGGCTCAAAGCGAGCCCAACGACAGCGGCGCAACGATCTGGCTGTTCGGTAGCCAGCTTGTTGTCAAGTCGGTTATCTTGCAGCAGCAAATTACCCAAGCTCGAGACATGAAGCGCGGTCGCGAGTGCGGCACGAATCTTGACATCCTCCAGCTCGGTAATGTACGTCTTCAGCAGATCGTTAACCTTCTTCTTGTGTTCCGTGAAGTACTCATCGTCGTACTTGGTCCAGTCAGGTACGACCGAGTCGTAGATCTTGGCGTTGTTCACGAATTTGATCACGCGGTTGATGAAGTTGCCTAGGTTCTTCAGCAGCTCGTTGTTGTTTGCGGCAATGAAGCCGTCCCACTCGAATTCGGTATCTCCAGTTTCCGGCCGATGTGAGAGAAGGTAGTAGCGCCACACGTCAGATGGAATGCCGGTCTCCTTGGCGTTGTTGCCGAAGACACCAATGTTCCTTGACTTTGAGAACTTGCCCTTCTCGTAGTTCAAGTATTCTGTGGTTGAGATGGTGTTGAGCATGGTCCAGTTGTCCTTGGTCCCGATCTGCGAGCAGGGGAAGACAACCGTGTGGAACGGCACGTTGTCCTTGCCCATGAACTGGTAAAGCTTGACATGTTCGGGGTTGTGCCACCATTTCTTCCAGTCCTCGGTGTAGGTTGCTGTAATCGACACGTAACCTATGCATGCGTCGAACCATACGTACATGACTTTGTCCTCGTAGCCCTGATACCGGTCAGCTGAATTTCGTCGTGTTCAAAAGTAGGTCGTACTTCGAGCGGCACCGCAGTTCCCCACTTCAGATCACGAGTGATACCACGCGGCCTTAGGCCCTCCTTCAACCACGACGAAGTAATGTGAACACCATTGGAGCTCCAGTTACCCTCCTTGCTCGCCTTCTTGAACCATTCTTCTTCTAATGGCTGCAGCTTGTCGAGGCAGAGGTACACGTGCTTGGTTTCGCGCGGAACTGGCGTGGCGCCATCGAGCTTGCAACGCGGGTTCTTCAATTCCAGAGGGTCGAGAAGATGTCCACACTTGTCACACTGGTCTCCACGCGCGTCTTCGTATGCGCACAACGGACATGTGCCCTCGACGAATCGGTCCGCAAGGAAGCTTTTGTGTGTCTCACAGTACGGCTGTGTTGTGGTCTGTTCCTCCAGGAATCCGTTCTTGTACAGTTTTGTGAAGATGTCTTGCGCGATGTCGGTCTGTTGCTGTGTGGGTGTGCGTCCGAAGTGGTCAAAGCTGATATTGAACCACTTGTAGACCTCGCTGTGGAGCGCGAAGTACTTGTCGCATAATTCCTTCGGCGTACACTTCTCTTCTATGGCCTTCGTCTCCGTTGCTGTGCCGTACTCGTCTGTTCCGCAGACGTATAGTGTGTTGTACCCTCGGGCGCGCGAGAAACGTGCGAAGACATCGGCGGAGAGTACGGAGCCGACGATGTTGCCCAGATGCGGGACATTGTTCACGTAAGGGAGCGCGCTGGTAATGAGCACGTTCCGCTCGCCCTCGACGGGCAGAATCTTTTTGGTTGTCTCAGTCATGGAAGGTTGTAAGCTGTATTGAGTCAGCTTGTTGTAGTGAATGGGGGAATGACGATGTAGCTCTTACTGTGGTGTATCGGGATATGTAATTGAAAGCGAAGAGGATGGGAGGAAAGCGAGCGCGCAATGGGAGTATATGCAGCTCTGCGTTTCTTTGGTCGAGTAGCTGAGTCAAACGCGAATGACTGCACGCACGACGGGTGTGTGGTAGCTGCCCCGCCTAAACTTACCCCACCAGCCAGTGACGCCACAGGTGGCTGAACCCTGGCTTTGATCTTTGCAGCAACAAGGACTGCATCGCGTTCGAGAAGCTGAACTTCAACGAATTTCTCTTGGATAATTTACAGAGGCTTTAGTCATTGTCTTTTCTGCAGGGCACCAAGGGTGATTTTCGCACAGAGAAATTGCTTCAAGATATGTCCGCTTTGTAAAATATCGAACACGGTCATAACTCGAACACTCCTACTGTCACACCACGAAGGGGAGAAGACTACACAAACTAAGCCCTCACCCGACTGCACTGCTTGGAATCATCTTGAAGATGGGATCCCAACCAACCAACCTACCAACCACCCGGTCCCCCTCCCCAGACCCCTTCGACGCCCTCCTAACCCTAGAAGACACCCTCTACACCACCGCCTACAACCTCGGCGTCTCGGACGGCGCCCACGCCGGCCGAATCGAAGGACGAATCTTCGGTTTAGAAAAAGGCTTCGAAAAGTTCGCTTCGTTGGGGAAACTCCATGGACGGAGTGTAGTATGGGGATCACGGTTACCAGGTCTCGCATCCAATCTAGCACCAACATCAAAGAACCATGAGGGTCAAGGCGTGAAAGAGAGGATCGTAGAGGAAGAAGAAGGGGGAAGCAAAACACTACCACCCCTCCCCAACAACTCCCGCCTTCTCAACAACACAACACTCCTGCACTCCCTAACCGACCCCCTCACCTTCGACACCGCAAACACGGAGGAGGCAGTCGCGGATTTCGACGATAGGTTCAAGCGCGCTGGGGCGAAGGCAAAAGTCATTGAGCGAATCGTCGGTGAAGCCGATGGTCAGAGTGCCTCTGCAAAGTCACCTGATGGATCACAATCACCAGCAAGAGGGAAGACGGGGCCGGTTCGAGTGACTGGGCAGAGTAAGGCTGGTGGTGCGAAGAAGGGTGATGATAGTATAGAGGATTTTGCAGGGTCCAAGCTGTTGCGCTAAGGCTGCGGTATTCGCTGAACACGTGCGTTCACTTCGCGTTCATTCGGGTGGGTCGGACAGCGCCGAGCCCTGTCTGTCTCGATGGGGAGAATGGTAGATGAGGATCTGCGCTCGTATCATCTGGTATCCCGTACCTGCCTCCCTGGGTAGAGCTACCTGGGCCTCGTACCATGCCCAAGATTATGGCCTGACATGGCTACACCGGCGGAAAGAGCGAACTACCAGGCAAACGGGGCAAGACACCAAGCCAACGTACAGTCGTGCTTGCAAGAATGATGGAAAAGCACTAGGCTTCAAATTACTCCGCTATCCTAGAAGGGGACCCGGGCACGACCCAAGGTCTTAGCTCAACCACTACACCGTGCTATGACATACGAGATGAAGAAAGATAATAAGAATCCATCGTAACTAAAAGGATATTGAGAAAGGTGTCAAATCGAAAGTGTGCCGCAAAGTCTCCTCCTCTCCCTTTTCGTGCTAGATGATGCACTGGTATCAAAAACATGTCGCAAATGCCCCCCTTGCGATTGACGCGCACCTAAACCACCTCCGCTCAGATAGCATCGATCATAGGGACTGGCCTTTCCATGCGTGGCTCCATACGCGGTGGTGGAGGGCCGTTGGGCTTGCCCCCGCTACTATCGACGCGGTTATGATTCGGGAACTCCTAGTACCCGTTCATGGTCATGCGCTGGCTGTTCCTGCTGAGCTCGCGGTCGGCAGAGGGTGAGATGGGGCGCGAGGAGTGGCCCTGGTGAGAGCTCTCCTTGAGGGCAAGCAGCTGCTTGGCGCGGAACGACTCGTAGTGGATTTGTGCGGTCGTCTCGATCAGGTCTTGCAGGTGGGTGCGGGTGAGGAAGTTGCGGAGGTAGACGAATTCGCAGTGGTTCTCGTCCTCGACTGGGGAGTGTTAGTGGAAAGCGCGTGGAGGAGGGTTTGAGATGGCCTACCGTTGATGATACCCCACTTGTTCTGGCGACCACGGACGTTCCTGCCGTTGACAACAACAGTCCTCTCAGAGCCGACGACAGCAAAAGGAAGGAGTTCCTAGTGGAAGTTAGCAGACGTCCAGTCGCACCTCGACACGTCCCTCACCTTAATGGCCTGCTTTGCCTGGACTTCCTCGTTGTCATCCTCCTCGTTGTCGTAGGGGTACATGCGCAGGTTGTGGAACTGGAACTCCTCCTTTATCCTGTGCTTGAACTCGGCACGCTCCTCCAGGGTCAAGCTGTCGCTCTTGGCAATGACGGGCACGACGTTGACAAACTCGCTAAGCTTCTTGAGGACAACAATGTCGATGGGCTTGAGGGCGTGGCCAGAAGGCTGGATGAAGAACAGGCAGCAGTGGATGCGCGTGTCCTGGAGGTAGCGCTCACGCTGGGCGGTAAGCTCCTTGCGGAGGTAGGCGCTGTGCTGGTCCTTGATGTACTTGACAATGGGGTCCCAGCAGCGCTCGTTGTTGATCAGGTCGCCGTAGCCGGGCGTGTCGACGATGTTGAGGCGCAGACGCACGCCGTTTTCCTCGATGATGTGTGAGACGGGGTGGATGTTGGTGGTGCTGCGGACCTCCTCGTCGGGCTGGAAGCGGCCCTTGGAGTCCATGAGGTGCGAGGCGAAGAGCGTGTTGATCAGTGTCGACTTGCCGAGACCAGTCTGTCCTGTACACCGTCAATACCAATGAAACACGTAATCGAAAGATGAGGGTGTGTCTTACCAACGCAGATGACATTGAACTGGAAGCCCCGCTTGACCGACTTGCGCTCAATCTGCTTGGTGATGCTGTCGAAACCGACATAGCTGTCCGGGAAGATGGGCTGCGATTGGTTCTGGTTGTATGCAGCAGCCATTGTGGATGATGGGAGCCTCGGGGCGCGGACTGGGGGTGATGGAGGTGGGTGGGTGAATGGGAATTAGGTTGGGGAGAGGAGGGTCGGAGGTGTCGTCGTAATAGAGTAAATAGTCAGGGTCGCTGCGCTGGCGACTTTCTCGTGGAGATGCAGGCGCGGGAAAGGGGGCAGCTAGGAAGCGAAAGCGCGCTAGTGGGAGGGCGGTAAGGCGCGACCTGCAAGCTCGGACTGGGGTCACGACATTTTACAACACCATCACCGCCATCGCCATTTCGCGGCTCTACGTAATCCCGTCGCAGCCAGTCACCGCTGCAGTCATGGCACTCGCCCGCCCGCTTCCTCCGCTGTGGCAGACCCTGCTGCCGGGCCTCAATGGCCCAATGCGGCCTATCCTCAACACGCCTTTCCTTCAACGCCTGTCACAACCCTTCGGCGGAATCAACACACCATTCGGCGCACTCGCGATACCCTCACTATCACTCCCCTCAATACCGTCACTATCCGATATCTGGGACGGCATACTCAACGCGGTGCCCAAGAAGAAGACGTCATACCGCAAGAAGCGCCAACGGTTCATGGCGGGCAAGGGCTTGAAGGATATTACATCGCTAAACACATGTTCCGGGTGTGGAAGAGTCAAGCGCCTGCACATCTTGTGTCCATACTGTGTGGATGGTAAGACTGCCAATCCCCATTGGAAGGGCTATTCGCTAACAAACACCCAGCCATCAAGACCACCATATTCGGCCAGCTCAACTGGGCCATCCGCCGACCGACCGACAAGCAAGCGAAGGTGATGAAGAGGGAGAAGCGCGAAGAGGCCCAGCGGATGCGGACATTAGAGCCCGACCAAAGGAAGGCGAAGGAAGAGGCAGTAATGAAGCACACGGGCTGGAAGAGATGATGCGGGGTGGAGGAAGTTGTGGAGAAGTATACAGGCTGAAAGAGATGGTGCGGGAAAGATGAACGACCCGTGAACGGGAGCCATTAGCATATAGTCTGGATGACTGTATTTGTAGCGCATATACAGGCGCGGCTTGGGCGTCGGGATACTTGTACATGAAAGATGTAACAACATAACGGACAGGCGACTACGATATACACCACAGGCAAATGCACACTGGATCAAGCAATTCAAGGTGTCTTCAGCACCTGATTCTGTTGCACCAAAGCTTTCTATAATTACCCCCATCCATCCATTACCTCTTCTCGTTAGCACCCATAGGCGGCGAACCAACCGTACTCTCCCTCCTACTCGCATCGCCCTTCCCCTCCGCCGCCTCCCTCTCCAAGAAGTCCTGCCACAGCTCCGCCAACGACTCCTTGTTACTCGAGCTACTAGCCATGAGCATGGGGTCTGCAGCCGCGGCGCTCAGCGACGCCGTGGATGGTGTTCGTCTGAAGGGCGAGGAGAGGGGGATGCGCAGGCCGGTTGAGCTGGATGATGTGCCGGGGCGAGCGAGTCCTGCTTGCTCTTTTTGCTCTGTGTGGGGGGTTAGTAAGAGGAAAGGTGTGGGGGTTGGGGGAGAGGGGAGGAGAGGAAGAAGGGAGGGGGACATACCATCTGTCCAGCCCAACAGCGCAGAGATGAGCTGCAGCGCCTCGAATTTCTTCGGATCACTCCGGTCTATACTCAAGAAATGCAAAAAGTAGTTTGTGATGATCTGCCGATCCACGTTGTCTTCCGGCCGTCCTTTTTTCAGTATCCTCAATGCCTTGGTGAGGTGTTCGTTGAGTGTTACGGCTTCATGGCGCAGCTTGCCGATTAACAGATTCTTCTCCTTGACTTCCTTTTCGAAGGGGAGGGCGCGCTCGAGATCTTTCTGCGTGGACTCGAGAGTCGCTTGAGCGGCATTCGAGGCGGACTCAGCAGCCTGGACTTGTTTCCGCAGATCGTTGATTTGCGATTCGTAGTTCTCGACGGACTTTTTGAGCTCGGCTTTTCGTACTGGATACTGTCAGTCAGGCAAGACTATTGTCATAGCTTGCATTGTACTCACGATTCTGTACCTCCTGCAGCGCTTTCTGCAGACCCTCCACAGCTTGATTATTGGTGTCCCTATCCCTGGCAGCCCGTTCGTACTCTTCCCGCATCGACTCCAGCTGATCCCGTAATTCAGCGTCCTTCTCAGCCAGGTTCTCGCGCAGAGATCGCTCGTTCATGGCCAGTACTTCCCAATCTTGCATGGCTTGTTTGGCGTTCTCGAACTCCTCCCTAGCGTATGCCTCTCGCGAAATCAGCTCATCTCGTTCCTTGATCCAATTCTGTTGCGACAGGGTCGACCTGCTCCGCATGGTCTCGATCTCGGATGCCTGGGCTGCCTTTTCTTGCCGTAGCTTTGCGAGCTCCTCGGTAAGGCTGTTGTTGTTCTCTTGTAGCTCCCGGGTCTGCTCCTCGAGGTCGGCGATTTGCGATTGGAATTCCTCGATTCTGGCCTGCACATGGTCAGTACTCCGTTTGCTGCAAAGTCCTATGCAGACATACCGCGTCTGCCTTTAGCCGATCGCCCAGACTGGTCTTGATCGTGTTGACCCTGCCCAGCAAGTTCTTGTACTGTGTCTCGAAGTGCTCCTTGCCCTCGTTGGCCTCATCCAGCTCCTCCCTCAAACTCCGCATTTCTTCCTCATGATTCGCATGTGTCTCGTCTGATGACCCTGTACTCTGCTTGTTCTGAACCTCCTCCAGACTCTTCCTCAGCTCCGTGACCTCCTGCCGTAGCGCATCGCGCTCCTTGGCTATCGCGTCTAGACGTGCGCTGGCGTCTGAGGGAGGGGGCGGGGACGCGGAGATTCCTTGTTGCGAGCGTGAACGTGCCAGTCCAAGCGCAATTGCGGACGAGATGCTGTGGTGTGGAGTCCCGTTTGTCTGCAGCGTCGGCGACAGCGGCGGTTGGTCGTCGTCTACGTCGTCGGCGTCTGGATCGGCTGAATGCGCAGCGGGCTTCTGCATTGACACCATTAGTACTCGTGGTTGTATAGAGGGCTCTCGTGGACCGCATACAGCCTGCTCGGCCTCATCCTCGGCGTCTTCGTCGTGATCCTCCGCGTCGCTTCTGGCGTAGTCCCCATTTACTTTGTCTGTGCCGTCCGCTTTGTTCGCAGCAGCGGCTTTCTTCTTATTCTTCTTTTTCTGCGACTTGGACAACGTGCCTGTCGTCGGCTGTTAGCGTATAATTCTTCCGTGCTCCCACATGGGCCGCGACGTGAAAGCGGAGTTTACTGGCACCTCCGAGGGCTGCAAGCTCACCTACCACTCTGCTGTATGGGGTCCGACGTAGTGGGCGCAGACATCTTGAAAGACGCGTAATGCAGTCGCTACCGCATCAAGAAGGCTTGGTATATGGGAGAAAGAGGCTCTGGGGGTTCTGGGGGAGCATTCGTGGATGTCTTGACTTGGCAATTCGTGTCCCGTTCTATGGTTTGTTTCGGCCCACGCGGTCCACGGGTGGCGTACGTCACTAGCCACATCTCACTACTCGTCTCATCCTTAGACCGACGCATCCCCCTCGTAATCATCAATCATCAACACGCATGCGACGACCTGGACATCGTTTCGATAACAAAGGAGGCAAATTCTTTGTATGCACTGCTTCACGGTTCGAGCCATCAGCGACAGCGCGCCAACCTTCGCGGGGTAGCCGAGCCCTCCGACATCTCCTGCACCTCAGCTCAAACAAGCCAAGACTAACCACGTAATCATTTCGATCCTTCGGAACATGAACTACTATCGGCCTCTGTTCTATTCGGCTATCACGATCATCTATGCCTCGTTCACACTTCGAGTCCTCAGACTAGGTCTTCTCCCAAGAATGATAAGCCAGGAACGGGATACAAAGGCTTCGTAAGAGGACGTATCAGATATTTGAGTGAAGTCAGCGATTCTGTTGCTCGGCAGCTCCTCAAGGAACTCCCACCACTCACTTCAACGTCAGTCATCCACGACAACGGCTGCGGTCACGGTGCAGCAACCATGGCGACAATGGGAGGCAAACCCCCAACAGGTCTCCAGATACACGCCACGGACGTAAACCCCATGTTTCACGCTCAGCTGCAAGCCAATCTCACCAACAAGCCCTCGTGGTCAGTCAAAAGTCAAGAGAATGGACGCCTGCAACCTCGCCTTCGCAGACAACACCTTCGACAGCGCGATGAGGCGATGTGGGATGAGGCGCTCGACTCTATCGTGGAAGAGTTGCCTCGTAACGAGTGGGACAAGGTTAAGGGTAAAGTAAATAAGATAAGGATGGTTTCTGATGTTGCGATTGTTAGGAAGGGGGTTCGTGAGTGATTGTCTTGCTGTGTATACTCACTGACAATCTAGATATGCCCAAACAGTTACGGTATAAAAGCTCTGCTTTTCTGATTAACGAGTGCGCCTGTTGTGGCTTTTCTATACTACACGTTCAGTCACTGGTATTCACTGTCACTGTCGTGGCGACGGGACCTTGTCTTATTCTACCAAAGTCTTGTGGGTCCCTTGGGGAGGTAAGGAGCTCATTTCTCAGGCTACCGGACTCACCAATACGGCCATATCAGTCTTTCACGAGACTGGTTCTACGTTTTCTATCTGAGAGTAGTAAACCCACTTCTAGTGCAGAGACAGCCGACCAAACCCTGCTCATCATCACGAGCACAAGTCCATGACTGCATATTGGCCAAAGCTTCCTCCAGGAACGTTTGCTCCTTTACCATCGCCTTCAGGCAGCACACGATAAGCCGATGAGGCAATCGCGCTAGCAACGAGACTCTGCTTTGTCTGCGTATATAGATCCGCCCACTCTCCTGTTTCCAAGTCTACACATCGACTCTCAATCTACTCAACTGTACCAATACCTAGTACAATATGCAGCTCTTACTTCTCCTCCTCGCCGGTCTTTTTGCGACCCTGACATCCGCATGCGGTTTCCCATTCAACAACAATCGCCTCACCAACAGCTCCTTAGTCGCCGACTTTGTCGCCGACCTGGAAGTATCTGGACAGCTCGGCGACAATGGCGGCCAAGGCTGGATGTCAGTCATCAACGATCGGATTCCAGATAAAACGATCTGGCCAAATATGGGCCCCGAAAATGACCCATACGTTTGGATCGATTACTGCTTTGCCACTGAGGAGGACTACAAAGCGTTCAACAAAGTCGGTAAGTATCCCTACATGTCACCTTCCACATCACGAAGTCTGCGAGTACTGACTCTGTTTACCACAGTGGAGGAGGCAGCAAACGAGTGGATGACCAAGTTGGGCAAGGGTAAAGACAATGGACATCGATTTGCTGGATTCCGTCACTACTCCGAAGACGGAATTTATCCACGTTGTGATAAGGATGACGAGTGGAACGTACTCGTTCCCGAAGGTACACTTCTGATCAAGGAATCCTGGGATGGATCTGCTTCAGCAACTATTGGATTCATCCCAGAGACACAGTAAGTCGGTCATTGACAAGGATTATACTTCAACTGTCTATTATCAGGTTACTAACATCTTTTTCCTACTCCAAGAAATGAGAAACCCGATCGACACAGTTTGCTTCTTGTAGTGCGTCCTGCTGACTACGACTTATGGAAATGGGAGGTCGCTCATGAGCTGGGTCATGTTCTTGGCTTTGAACATGAGCATCAGAGGAAGGACCGTGAGCTTGTTCTGCTAGACAACTTTTCTATCCCGGCTAACAAGTTCAGGGGACGACCATGTCAACTTCGACTGCTCCAAACTCGAGGGCTACGAGACTGCCAAGAAGAAAGTGGAGACTGAGCCCGCGTGGAAGGGGAAAACGATTGAGGACGTCTGTGGATCCAATTGGTTGGGATACATGCACGGCCTCCATTTTGCAACCCCAACCGCGTACTGTACCGACATGGGTCTCGCAGAAGATAAAACGACACCGTTGGCACAGTACTCGGAAACGGCATACGACTTCGATTCTATCATGCACTACCCCTCTCGAGCGCACGCTGCAAATCAGCGAGGTGGCGTCAATGAGCTACCCCTTGTACGCTGGAAGAATGGACGTCCCGGTGACGGTTCGGGGCCGAACGATGAGAACGCACAGATCATTCCATGGTTTACGGCGATTTCGGATGGAGATAAGAGGGGCGTTCAGCACTACTACCCGTACGTGGGACCTACAGCAAATGAACAGAATCAAGATGTACAGGATGTAGGAGTATGGGGGTAGCAAGACGTCGATGGTAGAGAAAGATGTCCGGACAGCAATATACCAAGGTCAGGTAGATTGTTAGACATAAACACGGTTGTATAGGTAGCTTTAATACATTGATGAACATCATCTTTCGCGCACGCGCATATTGACTGTGATGTCGGTGGTCGGTCGAAGGTCCCTGAAACCCTCTGACGTCGCCTGGACCCTGAGGCTAAAGTCGCCGGTTCCCCACATCGGGGCCGTTGCGGCAGGTACCACAATGACAGCACCACCTCGCCGGTAGCATCGTTCGGTATCCGAAAAAGAACCGTTACTACACACACGCAATACTAAGATGCAGTTCCTGTCGTTCAACCACAAAATTCAAGGTGCATCCAGATATAGACTTCGGTCACCGCGAGAACAGCATCAGTCCATCTTCAACACATCTTAATTACCAGATTACCCCCAACTCAACATCAAGAGCTCCAGACCATCTACTAGCTATGGCGGCTGTCTCGGTTGCACTTAATCTCGACTTATCGAACCTCAACGTTAGCACCGGAAACGACGATACCAACGTTTCTAGCGATTTCTCCTATGGCTTCTCGCACGCGAACGGTACCAACGGTGACAATGCCAAACCTCTACCAATCGTGATCGCAGGAGGCGGTTGCGTCGGTCTTTTCCTAGCTCTCCTCCTCGCACAGTCAGACATACCCAACAAAGTGGTCGTCGTCGAACCGCAGCAGCCAGATCCCATGTCGACGCGCGCAATGGCACATCAACCGCCTACATATCCCATATTGTCCAAAGTCGAAGGCTTACTACCCGAACTGGTGAAGACAGGAAGCCTGAGTTCAGGCCTGTGTTTCCGAACGAGCATCCAGAACGGCAGCAAAGTGATTGCGGGCAAAACCTTCGACAACTCAGGCGAAGGCATGAAAGGAAAGGGACAACTCCTACTACCACAAGGAAAATTCCAACAAATCCTCATGAAGCGCCTAGCCGCTCTCGGCGACGAAAAAGCCGAATTACGTCTCGGAACCAGCGTCACCTCCTTCAAGTCAACCCCCAGCAGCGTCACCGTGCAAATCACCCCCGAAGCCACCTCAACGCAACTCGGCGACGAAACGCTCGAAGCCGCCTACCTAATCGACGCCTCCGGCGCCCACTCCACCATCCGCAAAGACCTCACCATCAGCCTCGAAGGCGAAACCCTCGACGCCCAACTCGTAGCCACAGACCTCCACTTCGACTTCCACGCCCACGGCTTCCACGACGCGAACTTCATCATGGATCCGCTGAACTACGGTCTCATTGGCCGTATCAACCACGCCGACGCCACCGCGGATGGGAAACCCGCCTTATGGCGTGTGAGTTACGGGGTTCCGATTGGGGTGTCTGAGGAGGAGATTATGAGGACGCTGGATGAGAAACTGGGGGTTATGATGCCAGATGGAGGAAGGGATGGGCAAGGGGGGAAAGCGTATGAGGTTGTGAGGGTGGCGCCGTATAAAGCGCAACAGCGGCTTGTTCCGTCGTTGTATCATCACGAGGAGCGGGTTTGTCTTGTTGGGGATGCGGCGCATTTGACGAATCCGTATGCGGGACTTGGGCTGGCGTCTGGTATGGCGGATGCGTCTTCGCTGTCTGAGGTTCTTGTTCGGGTTCTTACTGGGAAGGCGGCGGATGGTGAGAGGTTGTTGAATGCTTGGTCGACGGCGAGAAGGGAGAGCTTTATGAATGTTGTGGATAAGCCTTCGAGGATGGCGTATAAGCGGGTTAAGGCTGATGTTAGCAGTGACGAGAAGATTCAAGAGATGATGAGCAAAGACCCGCTTGTGGGTGCGTTGAAGAAGGGTATGCCCGTTCAGCCGCCGAGTTTGGAGACGAAGGGGGAGGAATTGGAGGGGTGGTGATGGCGAGGGTGTTGATTATACGTCATTATGGGATCGTTGTAGATTTCCTCTTGATAACATGACCATCAATTCATTATACATTAGACTTCGCACATCGTGAACCGCTCACAGAATCATTCACCAGCATACCACCCCCCCAAATGACTAACACCCGTAGGCAGCACATCATCTTCAACCACCAACTCCGTAAGCTGCCCCCACAAATCCATCTCCCCATCCCAATCCCGCCCCTCCACAGCAGGATAATCTTTCGGCGGAACAGGCGGCCTCTCATCCACCTTCATCGGCGCAGTCGCCTTCTTCATCTTCGCATAAGCCAACCTAGCCACAGCCGCCGCATCCTGCTCCTCCGTAAAATACTCGAGGTAATCCTGCAGCTGAGGCGTGGAATTACTCTCCGGATAGCCCTCTACGCGTCCAGTCGAAGTACGGTTCCATCCGAAGCTAGTAATGTTCGGCAGTGAACGAACTAGTCGCATCCACTCATGATAAATCCCCGGCCGTTGGAGTAGAGAGTAGATAACATTAGTATGTTTCCACTCCCTCACCCCCTTCCCCTCTTCCCCCATATGCCGCCCAACATGATCACACCTCTCCCCCCACTCGCTACTAAAATGAACGCAGAACCCACAGCCCCAGCCCGTCCTCGTCATACGCCGCCGTCTCACAGACAGCGCATGAGCCTTTTTCCTGCCAGGCCCCACCTCAGCGCAAGACGTGCATCGGTGAGCCGTAGCGTGGTGTTTCGTGTAGTCCTTAGCGAGGAAATAGATGCACTCGCAGAGTCCACACACGAACATTTCGGGCCGCTCTTGGTAGGTTTCTTCGTGCCGCTTCCAGTCTGCTTTTGAGATGAAGGGGCGGGTGCAGATTGTGCAGAAGTAGGCGTGGGGTTTGGGGCAGAGGCGGGATTGTTTGTGTGCTGAGACGCAGGTTTTGAAGTAGTCTTTTGATTGTGGGGATTGTTTCTTGGGGGACTTTGCCTTGGTGGGACGGTGGCAGGGCTCTTCTGTTGGGGTAGCGGGATATAGAGGTGGGGAGGTGGGACCGTGACACAGGAGATGTTCAGCCATGGAAAAGTGTTGATTCCTTGACATGTCGGACGTGTTCGAATAGCCTGATACAGACGACGACATTGAGTCTCGGAGAGGGGTCTGCGAGAAGCTGCTGTTCCCCGAGGATCGATAGCTTGACATTGCCGACGAGAAGCTCGAAGCGGGGAGGTGTTGCGATGAAACGAAGGGCTGGGGTGTGGTGTTCGCGGTCGGCCATTGTCGAGGAGGATGTTGCAGAGCCTCTGTTTTCAGGTTAGTCCAAGTACTACTCTGGGGCATTCGGGAGTAGTCTTCACATACCGTTAGAGCTTTGTTGATACTTGTTAGCAATGTTGGGCTGATCCTCCACGTAGCCCCATGCTGAAAACACAGTGTCGAAGGCTTCGTTACCAAAATCATCAGTTGTATCGTATGTATACAGCGAGCCAGCGCATGAATGTTCGAAACCGCTCATAATGCAGAAGAGGAAAGGATGTACAAGAAAGAAATGTATTCAATGCGCGCTGCGCTAGTAGTTGAAGAACGTCGTCCTGACCAAAACAATAAAATGCCTCCATCACCGGCTATATACCCCCAACCACATTCTCAGCCTCAGCTGCAGCGACCAGAATTGCGGCTAGCGTTGTGGAGGAGGCGTAGTTCACCTGAAACGCGGCGAACGCTGATGGCAGCCGTTTCATGGCTTGTCCGTGTTTCGAAACAACAGGCATCCAGAACGAGGGGTCGCGACGATTGGACCGAAAGTTCTAGTCGTGCAGAGGCGTGCATATCTGTGTTCCCAAGGCTATTGACCGGTTGCGATGGAAATATGCGCTGCGAGGGCGAGTGGTTGAAGCGAAAGGCTGAAACGGCGACCGGCGAATGAGCGGTGGTTTGCCAAGGAAGCGGGACCAGAAGTCGTCCAAAATGTCCGACCGTATTTATAAGTTGCTGCAGCCCGAGATGCTGACGTGCATATTCCCGAGGTACTTCGAGCTTACTTCGAGCTCCCAGAATACGCTGGTAGTGACCAGGGTACTTCATCCGGTAAGCCTGGGTGAGTCTGCGAACCTTTTGTGACCTCCACGGCCCATCTTCCCATCCACCTCCACCATCTACAAGCGTCATAGTAGTCTCCTCGCCCACCTCATAGCCCACGTCCATCTTGCTGCGTCGCCTCGGATACCTCCTCGCCTTGCTGTCGAGTCGCCGTCAAAACGTTGGGGTTCAACGTCGTCCTCAAACCTGTTTCGTATCGCTGCCTTTGCAGCCCAAAAGTCGTTCATCTCGCTGCCTATGCAGCCTAGTCGCCGTCGTCGTTGTCCTCCTCCTCCTCCTCGTCTTCCTCCTCACTGGAGCTTGGTTCAACAGGCGTGTGGCTCACGCTGTGGGAAATATCCCAAAAACGGTTCCATTTGTTCTTGATGTGCTCTTTGAGCACCGCTCCCTTGCACAGGAACTTCTTCCTGCTGTCGTCGAGCCACTTTCTGAAGGCCATTTGGGTTGGATAGTGGGATTGTTGTTGTGCTGTGGGTATGGTGTGTATGGTGGTAGTGGTGATGGTGAGAGTTTGCCAAACGGAGCTGAAATAGCAAGCATGGCTGTAGCTGGCCAATTTCCAATACAAGGTGACTGTAGATGCCATGTGGGCTTTAGTAAGCTTGGACCTTTGAAGACTTGCAAACCTATGAGCTGAAATGCCTCAATTGTTGTGCTGGTTTGGTGATTTGGCGCTAGTGCGGCGAACTGGGAGCCCCCCAATGCTCGGACATACTCAACACCAGATTCACAAATGCACTGCACCCACAACCCTTCCTGTCGATACTCACGTCGTTCTACCGCTACTGGGAGACACATCCCCAGCTCATGTGGTCCCCTGAGACCGTTCTACCGCTGAGCTCGACGCCGCAGAAGCTCGTGATGACCTGCAGGCCTACCTCATACGGGGCTCTCTACGTTGAAGCTGGCATTGGCGATCTCCCGGCGCTCACGAGAACCAAGGCATCCTACGCTCTCAATCCATACATGCAGCTGCTGGCGCTCCTTGCAGCGGCGGGCCATGGTCGTGGGCCGCCCCAAGGCCGCTCTCTGCGTCGAGTCTGGCATCGGCGACCTCCTGGCGCTCCCGAGAATCACGGCTTCTGATGTCCTCAATTCATACATGCAGCTGCTGGCGCTCCTTGCGGAGGCCGGCGAGGCTCGAGGGCCGCCTCAAGGCCGCTTTCTCCGCCGCCGAAGGCCCAGCTGCAGCCCACGGTAAGACCCCCAGCCAACACGATGAAGACACTCACCTTACCCCCATTGACCACAGGCAGCGTCGATGTCGCAAGCAGCTTCGCAGTTTGGAATTACCCCGCGGCGGAGAACCAACTGTTTACAATCTTCGAGACCTCCGGCCGTCTCCCCGAACCACGACCCCCGCAGCTCCGATTGAGACTACGAAGCCGGACATACAGCGCGACGAGACCTCCTTCTATACCTACCATCACACAGATGGAGCCCTCGAGCCTTACTAGATCGCACCGGCGACGAGGTTGAGGGGCTGCCTCGAAGCGCGGAGAGCTCTTCCATCGAGGACAAAGAACCGACATGGACAAAGAGCACCGCGACCGTCCTTACAACGACAGGAGACTTACTGATACAAGCGGCATCGTATGCCTCCGCCTCGGCGATGCGTATTACTGCTCCGCTGGTGACTACCTCGTACCTTGCGGCGTTGGTACTACCAGCCGCACCCCTTCACCGATGCATCCGCGCAAGCAACAGCGTCGCGAAGAGGCAGAGCCATACGCAGCCTTGCTTCAGGTTGGGCGCAACGGCAATCTCGACCAAGGGCATCACTCACCTGATGGCGACACTTACTATGAAGACAGACAGCTTCAGCGAACCGTCGCATGTCCTCAATCACACAGCGCTGCGTCCGACAAGACAAAGCCAACATGGCGATACCGCTCGTCCATGGTCATTGCCGGAAATACTTCACACCTTACGAATTTACGCGACGACAGACCCACGACGACGAACAGCCATAGCCACGAATAACTCTTCATACATCCGGACGGACCGGGATGCTGCTTCGCACCACAACATGCGGGCATGGGCTGCGATACAATAGGCGCAACATATCGGGCTCTCGGCGTGGACGGCTCCTCAGACGACGGAAAGATGAACGCTTGCGCAACGCAAGCACGACAGGGTTTCAAGAGTTGGGTTCATATCTTCTCTTTCATACGGGTGTATCTTCTCCATGTTGCAGGAAGCGACCAAGTGGAGTATCCAGGGTTATGGTACCAATACTGGCCAACTCTTACAACTTTGGTGGTCATCCCGACTCTTCACAGACGACGCATGGGCAGTCTTGTCAGGCAAGCTTGCGAACGCCACGCTTCAACGCCTGAATAGTTCAGGTACAGGCAAGAGCTGCCTCAGTCGCTTCGCCGCAGTCACGACTCGATCGTCCTGGCTGTGTTCGCTCATCATCACGAAGTTCATTGAGGTCCAAACATTCTGCAACTTCATACCGACTAGCGCAGCCTGAAGTCTTATTTGACTGTCGCGCGGAAGGCTGGAGTCCTCAAATTCCAAGCTCTTGACAACACCATGATGCACTTTCATCTGGAGGCCGATGTCGTCCTTGGAGTCGAGCACGAGGCTAAAGGCTGGTGTTTGCGACCACAGCCAATCATCAGTCTACGGACGTTAGCATCGACAGCGAAATAATCGAGGGCTATGTGTGTACCTGTAGCTCGTCGTAGCCTTTCTGGATATCGGGGATGTTCAAGTGCTCTTCGCCGACAGTCTGCACGATGCTTGGAGCTCCCAGCTCAGCATACATTGACGCAAACTCCTGTTGCAGATGTTCCTGGAATGTCGACACGTCGAGACCGATGTTGGACACAGGCGAGCTGACACTTTCGACACCCTGGGCTTGTATGACGCTCTTCGCGGGAGATCGCAAGTAGTGGG